TATTTGACATGAACAAAGAGGAGCAATAGAAGAGTAAAATAAGATTTTTCAATAAAATAAATAAATGGATCCCATGGTGTAAGGTAATGTGTTGATGAAGTGAAGATATTTTTTTGATGATGTCACATGTATATTTTAGCAGAGAACGTATATCATAGAGAAGGTTCAATTGCGGACCAGCGTGTGAATTGTCAAAACCTAACAAGATTTTAATAGTGGATTTCACCACATCTGGCTCGAAAGGAGAAATTTTAACAGTAGAGAGTGAACAGAGCTGAGCATTGTATGAAAATTATGCTCAGAGACTTGCTTTGATATTACAGCTGCATGTTAGCCTTTGGCTTATATTCTTATACGCTTATATGCAAACATATTTATTGATATGAATATCATTTTGCGAATTTTTATGAATGCATGCAAAACTGATAAGATCTTTTAAATTATGAAATTTCGAAATAATATTTATAGTCAATTTGGGCATTTAATAATTTTATTTAGTTTTTACCTAATATACATTCCTAATAAATATTTAATATTATAATAATAGAGATTAAATTTATTACAATATATGTATGCAGGTACATCTTTTATCATATTAATCTTATATAGTAAGTACGTATGTATTTGAATGTACGCATTCAGAAAGTCAAATCATGATTTTATCACTTATCAATACACTATATGTGCGCGCATTGATTTATATGTACACGCATATATCTACATAAAATTGCCGAACAAATAATGCATACACAAACCAACCTACATATGTGTGTGCGTACACATGTAAATATGTCACCCGACAAAACTACAAACATTGTTCTACAAAAACAACAATCGTCACAAGTCAATATGTCAGCCAAATAGCCGAAGCCCAAATTTATAGTAAATTACACAATAACAACACCTCGCTTCATTCATAAAAACAGATACCCTCACATCCCCCCGAGCATGCGTTTGCCAACAAGCTTCTTTTCGCGACGATGGCAAAAGCTAAAAATCATAAATTGAACAAATTTCTGATATTCCCTCTGGAAGGGAAAAGTTGCAACCATGCAAGCCCACAAAACACAGAAAAAATTGACAAAACTGGCAACAAAGCTTTTGTCGATTTAAAATATTTTACAATTTACAATTTTAAAATATTTTTCCCTGTCTCACAAAAATCTGCGTCAATATGTATGCATGCTCATATATAAACATACATATTTACGATGATTTGTGGGCAAAGCTGTTAGAGCGGCAAGGGAAGCGGTGACAATCGGCGGCCGTTCGTTAATATTTTTTCGGCACAGCTCGGATTTTCTACCAACAACACAGTGTTGTGACGCTTTGTCGTCGCGTCAGTCCTTCGACACAGTGACTCTTTGACAAGAAAACAAAAAACGTGAGCTTCGGCCATTGGCAACGGGGATTTCGCATGAAACAATGAGTGTACATATTTACATACATACGTTGCATATAGACAAATTAACAATTATAATGGGTACTTTCATATTTGTTTACATGCAAACATAATTATACATATATATTTGAATAAGAATATTTGGGACCGCTTCGTCTTTTCTTATCGGGTTATGTCAAGCAAGAGGTGTACAAAATCAAACCCAGAAATCTGACTGAACTGAAGCAGTCCATTAAATAGATAGATGATGCAATCCCGAATTAGGTGTCGCATATGCGTGGTTGAGCATGGAGGAATAATTAATTGTTTAAATAAAATAAAATTTTCTAAACAATAAAAAAAAAATGTATGTAATGCATTGACTAAAAAGAAACTTATTACTGTTAATTTTTGTAGCACGATTCGTGAGCCGCCCTGTATATGCAGAATATCTTAAAATTATATGCAAAGTCGTTTGCGCATTGTAAATATACGAATCTGTAAGCGTACATTTCTTAACATTGAATTTAGCATCATTTTTCTCATTTAACATTCAAAATGCTCAATTCTGCTATTTTGCGCTCCGCAGGGGTAAAATTCTGGTCCGCTTATAATTTGTTTGAGGTGAGATCCTCTTAAGTTGGCGAGTAACCCTCCGTCAAGAGGAACATTTTGACAATCGGCACACCATGAACCTTCTCTATGATATACGTTCTCTGATTTTAGCCCCTAAAAAATAATAACACTTATAGAAGTAAATCAGTAGAACGTTACTTCAGGATGAACGAGTTAACAGTAAATAAGTGAACTGATGAAAAGTCACACCCCTATTGCGAAAGATCATACTATAACAATATTTTACTTAGCGGAAGACCATTGAAGCTTTTTGTACATAAAAACGCAGATAAACCCCAGAATTAACATTTTTGGAAGCATGACATAATTCGTAAAATTTATTTATAAATAAAAGTTCAATAATATTAAAATCTTAATAGATAATGTAAATTCTTTAAAAATATTTCACAACCAAAAATTGTGAAAGTAAATATTAATTGAAATACTCATAAAGTGTTTAAAGAACAATGATTTGTTCTGAGACCAACTTGGGTAAATTATTCAATAAGAAACGGTCATAAATAAATAAAAAATATAGTACACATATGTATGTTCTTTAGAGATATTATGTATTCAATTTCAAAATTCGCAAAATAATGTAGACAAATGCATTGGAGCAATTTTTAGACTTTGAAATTTCTATTTATTATAATAATGGTTGATAGTGTTCAATAACATATAGATGTCAATTGGCGACAGACGACTCAATTTCCTGCGCTCGGTAGTCAATATTCATAAAGTACATTTATGTATTCTGTTATCGAACGGAAGCTAAAACCGCTGTATTATATACTATGTTCGCACCGAATTGAAATCCTCTTGAAAACACAATTTGTGCATTGTGGAACCAAAGTCGTTCTTCGATGAGTTTTCATTGACAGTTCACACATCTATTTGTTTACATTTGTTATGTACCCTACAAGAACAGTGACGGTCATCTGATGGGTAACATGACAGTCATAGCTGAAAAAATTTTGTCAGCGCGCAGAACAAAGTTTCTATCATTTTCTTAAGAGCCTTGTGCCTGTGTGTCAGAGAGGGTACAACATAATCCTTAGCATAAATGCTCTCTAATAGTTTAATTTTCAAGGTTTTGGATTCTTGTATTTGGGGTATTTTCTGTTTTCATTTCTTTCTTTTCATTTACAAAAGTCATAATGTAACACTGGTTATTTGACATTTTGCAACCCTTTTGTCACTGTCAGAATTAATAGAATTTAGCAATAATTTAAGTATTTAATCAATGTCTTTTTCTGAGTCATTGACCATAAGTCCGTCATAGCTGAAAATTGTCAGTTATGACTGAAACGCTATCAGAAGTGAAAAATTCTTTTGCGCAGTAGATAATATAATTTTTATTTCTTTAATAAATTTCAAACTTTTAATCAAAATTAGTTATAATAATATACTTAAATATAAAAAGGAATGCAAAAAAAAATATAATAAAATATGAAAATATAAAAATAAATTTTCACTTGATGCCATCTCCTCCTCTCAATAGCTCTGCGTACGTCTTTCTCCAACCAGTGGATAGTTCTGAATTTAAAAATGCAAATGTAAATTAACAGTACTGACATATCAAATGTGAGTGTACTGGTGAACCCATCAGCAGTTTCTTGTAGGGTACGTTGAGGCCAATTATGGAATGTAAACAAATTGTCAATTGACATTTAGGGCTGGCAAAATATGTCTTCTAATAATACCGATTAAATTAGAGCAGGCACCGACTATAATGAGTGGAATGTAAGTTTTCAAGGGGTTTTCAGCGAAAACCATGTTTTCGTTTGACAGAATTTGTATGGATGAAAACACAAGTTTTCGCGTGAAAACCTCTTTTGTCTATGAAAACACGAATTTTGTGTCGGTGCGAACATAGTAATATATTCGTAATAGAAGTGCTAATTTTCAAATTTGCTATATGCCATGGAATGTGATGAACATAGTGATATCTGTTAGATTTTTAGATTGAATTCTACTAATTTGATGAATATAGGGATTTGTATTAGATTTTATACTGATTTTAATGCGAATATCTCGGATATGGAGCAAAATGTAACAATGAAACTAAATAGTGTATGACCCATAGTTTAAGGTAATGTGGTTCCAATCCTTTAAAGCTTTTATTGAATATTGAATTAATTTGCAAATTTTTATAACAAAGTTTTGCCAACACTTGATATGATTAAGATGTAAAAAAATTTGTATTTTGTAATACTTTCAAATGTGTTGCATTATTTGCAAAAGGAGTAAGAATAAAATACTCAAAATTCCTCAGCAAAAAATGCCCCTCTTATGTAAAACGTTAGTATTGCTATCATTACAATATTTTGTGTAGCTCATGACTAACATACTGACCTCAGTGCACTGAAAAACTCACATCCCTGATTTATTATTTTTTCTATTTTTCAGAAGCGCTTTTAAATGTAACATTGAAGGATATTTATTATACTATATTATATATAAAAATACACCCCTCAGAGAGAGTGATTATGATTGTAAATACTAGTCTAATCTTATTAAAATATTTATAGATACTGTAAACAATTATTTGCTACAAAAAACAGTAAATTAGAAAAATATCATTGATTGATGTTTACATATAACAAGATTATCTCCATTTACGAGATTAACTCTTTTAAATCCGAGATTAATTTTTAATCTTATAATCTTATACAGCTTATTTGCGGTGTTCTTCCTAGTTTTATCGACAGTTTTTGCGAAGGAGGAGAAATGTCAAGTGTCAAAGTAATCAATAATGGGCGGCAACGAGAAAAAGAGGTTTGTAACTGTATTTTTGGTAACACATTAATTTAAATTAGTTAATTTATCAGGAAGAAGAGATCAAAGGGAAACAGAGAAGTAGTTGAACTTCTCCTGGGCTTGTAGAAGGAGAAATTGTCGCAGCTTCGTGGTATTAAACGCGATTCCCATGTGTTTAAAGATATGTCGGTGGAAATGGCTACAAGAGGAAATGTTAATTCCGCAAATGAAATTCGAGTAAAGATACACAATTTGACCAATAAATACAGGTCAGTTTATTTAATATGTATATGTATTTATACATATAAAAGGTTTCAAAAAAATAACCTAATCACAATTATTAAAAAAAAACAAGTGGGTCCCTCTGGTGGCAGCCCATCGACTTGGGAGTACTATAGGAAAATAAATTGTATTCTTGGCAGCTATAAAAGATTTAATTTGGAAACCTTGGCGGAAAAGAGCACAGGTTAGTAAATATAAATTTTAAAAGTTATTATCTATTTTTATAAACTAACTTATTACAGTTCACGAAGAAGATTATGTATCATCGTTTTATAGCTCTTCCCTGATTGGATTAGATTCCCAGGAAGAATTGCCGCTTCCAAAGGATGCAGACGAGGAACCTGCAAAGAAAAAGTAAAAACTAAATGTATTAGTGAACATTCAAAATGAGTTTTTGGAGGACTTCCGAGCGCAATTAGGAGAAAAAGGACAGAAATTGAAGTAATTAAAGAGGATGTCAGAGAGTCCCTGCAAATTAATAGAGAGAGAGAAATACCATCCTCGAAACTTTTTTGGAAGCCTTCAAGCAAAGCATATAATTATACCGTCAACGCAAAATTAAGTTCTGCGCGAAAAAATTTTGGTACACCCCGTTGTTGGACCAACCAGGGTTATTTTTTTTTAAACGTGGCCGAATGCCGCCAATGCAAAAAGAAGTTCTGCGCACAAAAACCTTGTTACACCCCGGTGTTGGATCGACCAGGGTTATTTTTTTGAAGCGCGGCCGAAGGCCGTCAACGCAAAAAGAGGTTCTACAAGAAAAAGTAACATTGTCATAGAGGGTACAACATAATCCTTAGCATAAATGCTCTCTAATAGTTTAATTTTCAAGGTTTTGGATTCTTGTATTTGGGGTATTTTCTGTTTTCATTTCTTTCTTTTCATTTACAAAAGTCATAATGTAACACTGGTTATTTGACATTTTGCAACCCTTTTGTCACTGTCAGAATTAATAGAATTTAGCAAGAATTTAAGTATTTAATCAAACTATTTTTTCAAAATTATTTCGATAAAATTGATTTACTGTAGATAGTAAATAACCTAAATATGAACTGAATGTAAATGAATAATTGAACTAATAAAACAAAAAAAACTTACATAGAAATAGATCTATTCATATCTGCCAACTTCTTATTTCTGGCAGCAATCTGCGTAATTAAGTATACAATCGCCCTTTTTATCCCTTTATCCATCATGGGAGCTATCAAATAAAAACTATTAAGTTATTCGATAGTTCAGCAATTTTCATTCATTCGATAGTTCTCGCGAAATCATTCATTATCAATTTTCGTTCATTACCAATTTTTCTTTCGTTACTAGTTTTTTCATTCATTACTATTTTTTCGATTTCGAACGATTTTTCGAATGAATGATTTTTTGTGTATACAAGTGGATTTTTAGCAAAGCTGTTTGTACGAATTTATTCGCTTTCAAGAGCTTCACCTACTTTTAGTAATATTATATTCCTCAAATGTACGAATAATACTTAAATTGTGTGTATTTCAAAATGATTTTGAATGATTTATGTTAGATTTTGTATAATAATGTATGTACAAGTATGAATGGTAGAAGTTAATAGATGCTTAAAATAATTTAAGTAAAAAATATTCATACTATTCGTATTAAATATAGATTTATGAATAATATAGGAAGCATACATAGTTTCGAAGTGGTTGGAAAAAAATCCAATGGTTTTGAATTAAGCAAGATGGTAACTTGATTATGTATTGCGATTTGAAATTGTAACTATGTATAAATGCACTTAATCGTTTTAACTGTCACATTGTAACATTTGCATCGGGTATTTGCGTCAAAAATAGTGAAACTTTTAAATTTAAACTTATATAAATATTGGTTAATATATTTAATTGCAATATTTTTGCTAGAATCTATGTAATATGAAATTTAAATATCTTATAAAGTGATGAATCTATTTTTATATACATATATTAATAGTTAAATCAAACTAAAATGCAGCCAGGATGAAAGAGATCAGCAGTGTGGGAGTTTTTTTTTGCTAAAAATGGTAATAATGTTAATATAATATAATATTATATAATAGAAATATATGTGAATTCAGAAATAACAATGGAAATTTTTGAAAGAGACTTAAGTAGTGCTTCTTTGGTACCAACTGTGAACGTAAAACCAAGTTCTTCGGCAATACCTAGCAGAAATGTTTCAGGAGGTGAACAATTAAAAAGAGAGGCAATGCTAACAAAGTTATTTGTTACAAGCACGTGATCTGAGCTTTCATAAACTGAAAAGAGAAGTATCGATGAATCTCTCATTAAAATGGTTACAAGATATCTACAACCACTTTCCCCTGCCGAAAATGAATTATTCCGCGAATATACAAAAAAGCCTCAGCCTTTGTATTCTAATATAATGATACACGGAAAAAGCTTCATGACATATGGGAAAATATTTTACACATTTCTATAAAAACAGATATGTGGACTTCTGACAGCCAAAACTCTGTTTTGCCTGTTGCTAGTAATTTTATTTGGGAAAATTAAATGAACTCTGCAGTCCTGTCATCTAAAGAAGTGTTAGGCTCACATACTGCGCAAAATATAGCCACAGAATTAAAAAAAACATTTTTGACGAGCGGTCAATTTTTAATAAAATGGTTACGATAGTACGTGATAACGGCGCAAATATCAAAAAAGCGATAAGTGATATTTTACAAAGACACCACCACCCAAGTGTGGCTCACACCCAAAACGAAATGCAGAGCTATAGTAACATATTTCAATCATAGCTCTCAAGCAGCAGAAAAACTTAAAAGATTGCAAAAGGAAATGGGTGTGGCCGAACTTAAGATGAAGCAAGATGTTACTACTAGATGGAATTCTGGCCTTCTTATGATGGAACGTATATACTTGATAAAAGAACCGCTCTCTGCTGTAATTATTTCTTTACCAAATGAATGCAGAATGCAAAATGCAAAAGAATTGGAAAGTTTACATGATTCTATAAACGTATTGAAGCCGATAGAGCACCAGAATTTTCAGCGCAAAACTATCCAACGATGTCACTGTTTGTGCCTATAGTCAGAGGGCTCCAATATGCAATAAGATTCCAGCAAATGAATACTACGGAGGGAGAATGCTTAAGAAGTAGTTTGTTGGAAGTAATTTGACGACGGTTTAAAAAGATTGCATTTGGAAATGAAACTAACGCAAGTAGTGTTAAAAATGGTTGGCAGAAGAGATACCAACTTTAATACAAAGAAGCCGAAAGGATTTCACAATCCCAGTAATATAATTACCCGTGAATAAAAGTAAATTATCTGTACTTGACCAAACAGTAGCGGAAGCAATACTCCTTGCCACAACACCACTAGAGTTAATGCACATATTGCTTTAGAGCAATATCTTAAGCAAGATTTCCTTGAAAGACATCAAAACACTTTAAACTACTGGGGCAACAAAAAATCAGTCTTCCTAGAACTCTACGAACTGTCTAAAAAATATTTATGCATACCTGATACTTCAGTTCCTTGCGAAAGGACTTTTTCTAAAGCTCAAATAGTAAATAACAGAAGAAATGGACTAAAAGGTCAAAAGCTTGATTAAATAATATTCTTAAATTACAATTTTGATATAAAATAAATATTTTTTGTTACATACTTTTTTATTTATATTTATTTTATTTTATATTGAAAAAAGCCTTTATATAGATTTAATTAAAAATGAATAAAATACCAGTACTTTGAATTGTTGTTTGAGGAGCACGACTTGGCCTTTGTTATTAAATTTGAATAAATAAATTAATAATTCAAATAATTAATTCGATAGTCAAAATCATTCAGTTATTAACTATCGATAGTTGAAATCATTCGATAGTTCCCAACACTACTAAACTGTCAGTGAATTACAATCCAATTTGCTGTTATTATCTTATATTTGTAGATCATTAACTCACATAGTATAATCACCATATTTCAAACAAATATACAATATATATTATATAAATTTAATTTATATTAGGTAAATGATGATTTGTGAGGTATGAGGTTAAACGGTATGATTTCATATTCAGCGCTAAACCAAATTATATTTAAGAAGACAAAACTACTTCATTTCAAAAAAATATCACACATTTTGACCAACATAAACACTTTAAAGTCAGGTACATGGTCGGAAAACCGCTACGTATAGAGTTCAAAACCAGCCGAAAATTCGTAAATCATGATGCAAAAGCCAATTTTTGTTCTTTCACAAATCCGGGCGTTTCTGACGGATTGTTTTCACAAATTTCACATAACGTCCCGGTAATATTCTTCATATATTCTAATTGTGATTCGGCGATTTCGTCTTTCACATCTCTTCGACCCTCTGAGAACATTTTGTACCACCGATAAATGTTGCTTTTGTTCAAGGTAACTTCACCATGTACTACAGTCAAAATTCGGAACCACTTAATTTTGTATTTCACACAAAATTTTATACAAATCTTTTAATCCATTTTTTGGAATAATCAAAAATCGAATCGATGGGTTATTGAATATTAAAGTTATTGATGCATTAACTTCTGATATCACTCAATAACATGATTCCACACAATTTTACGAATATAACTCACACACTGACCGTCATATATATATGATAGAATGACGAAAGCCATATGGGAGTTTAGAAATCCTTATATAGGGGCAAATACAAAGACACATTATTATCAGGAATAGATTTTTTCTGAATTTCATTAACCAGCCTTATTTCTAACTTCCTGTGAATTTGTTTTTTTACTATCGTAAATTGCACATGGAAAAATTTCGCATATACGAAAGTTGTCCCTAATCGTATATATAATTTTTTTTACTTAATTTCAAATAAAAATCGAAAGCGATTTCTGAATGAAAAAGGTAATACCATTTTCCTAACGGCACTTAATCGGAAGATTTAAGATGTTGAGTAGATTATCTCACTATTCAACTAGATTTAGCAAGATTTTGCTATATGAAAATAACACTTGTTAAACCTGACACCGAAGAGATTTGAAACTACTCGAAATTTTCCTGTGCGACTCTGATTTCGCGCCATCTGCTTGTCAGTAGGGAAATTTATCACATTATCACAGCTGATTTAGACACCACTCTGTAAGACGAGAATCTGTTAGCAAAAGTGTTAACTACTTGTTATTGTTCACACGTGTATAAGTTAAAAAATTTGTTACTTTTGTTCAACGAGTGGGAAAAAAGTAACCTATTGCTCCTTGGATGTTCAATGCCTTTCCCGCTCTATCCAATTACAATTATGGAAGATTGTCTCTCTCTATGATACGTCTTCTATGTGTATCCTATTGGTTTTATTTCGGTTAGCAGTATGGCATATATTGGTTACCGAATCTGTTAACAGTCTGTTAGATGCAACAAATGCATGTGTTGCCGAATATGTTAGTTATGTGTTACCTCTGCTATTTACATGTGTTCGCGAATGGGCTACCTGTGTGTTATTCATAACAGCTCTTTTGTGCGGTATTTGTTTATGCGTTAGCATAGGCACCGTTGCCTGGTTCGATTGTTTGGAAATTGTTGGTACGATTTATTGCGGAATTCCGTTTAGTGCGAGTACTCGCTATCAACGCGTTTCGTTGTTGTTGTTCGGTTATAGAACCGCGAGTGTGTTTTTCGGGTAAGAGCACTTTTGCACGTTTTTATGCATTTTTCGGCGTGGTTGAATGGTAAATGCATATTTTTTATTATTGTGTACTGTACCTGTTCGGAGCAGCTCTTCTCACGATGGAACTGCCAATAATTTGTAACATCAATGTTAAATTTCTAACTTTAACTTAATTTAACTACATTTATACATATACATATATACCACCCTCTCTGGTGAGAAAATATTGAAAATATTTAATACCAATTGTTATCTAGTCACTTTAATTTGCATACCCACTATTACACTACTCGTTATTCTAATTCCTCATTTCCTTTTATCCTTCAATATGTTTATACATATATGTGAGAACAATTGTGCTTGGCCTTGTTTAAGCAGAGAACTTAAAACAATGAGAAGGTGCAAATTGAATTTTGTATGATGCTCGATTGGTTGGCTGAAAATTTGAGATCAAGGAGTTCACCACTTTCTGTATAGTTTTGCTGTTATTTAACAGAAATGAGAAGTTTTAACAACGTTCTCTGACAAAATAAGTATCTACCAATATAAAGAGAAAAATGAAATGAAATGAATGAGAAAACAAGAAATACAAATGCCACTTCACATATGCATGATTATTTTTTGCCATATAAACGATTTTTATGATGAAAAATTGATAAATTATTATTTTTTTGCACAAATGCTACATTGATAAAATGTGAAAGATTATGCAAAAAATGATATTTTACTATTTTCATAATTTTCTAATTTCAATTTTTACAGAATTAATAATTTATGTATGTACATCAATATGTTATATTATATAATATAATAATATATTATCAATTATCAATAAATACATATGAGCACACTGCTCTATATGTAAGTATGTATGTACAAATATGCATATGACCGCGCAAATTAAGTAATGCATATACAAATCTACATACATTTAAGCGTACAAATGTAAGTACGTCAGCCAATAGGAAAAATACAAACATTGTTGTACAAAAACAACAACTCTCTCAAATAGCATCAGCACCAGAAATCAATATGGCAGCCAAACTGACAAATCCTAAATTTGTAGTAAATCACACACCAACAACATTTTCATTCATGAACGCTGGCGCACAAGCTAAGTCGTTTCATTCATAAAAGCAAACGCCTTACACATCTCCCCGAGCATGCGTTTGCCTACAAGCGTCTTTTCGCGACAATGGCAAAAGCTAAAAATCATAAATTGAACAAATTTCTGATATTCCCTCTAGAAGGGAAAAGTGACAACCCCTCAAATATGAGTATTAAAATATTTTAGAATAAAAGTGACAACATAGTAAATTTGTCGATTTACAATTCAAGAAACTTTTTAAAGAAAATATTCAATATTCCTCTGATTTATGTATACAGTAAACCCCGGTTAAGTATCACTCCTCCAATCCCTCTTATCTGCCGGTGTCACTGCATCTCACTTTTTTTTTCTTAATTTTTTAAAGAAAACGGTAATTTTTTTTTAAATACATAGAAATAATTTTTTTTGGTACCACTCGCTTAAGTACCACAATCGCTTATGTACTACAAAGCACAAAAAATCTGCATCTTTGGTTTTGGCACTTAACCGGGATTGACTGTATTTGTCAAAGAATTTACGTAAGTACGTTCGAATTTTTTGTACACACATTGACTTTGCACTTGTCCATATGCGATGTATGTTTGTAAGAGTGTTTATGGCACATCTCGGATTTTCTACCAACAACACAATGTTGTGACGCTTTGTCGTCGCGTCAGTTCTTCGACAGATTGACTCTTTGACATAAAAGCAAAAAATGTGTCAACGGAGATTTCACATGAAGTAATGAGTGTACATATCTACATAAAAATACATACAAATGTGTAGACCACATAATATATGTATGTCCTGTTACATATGTTTACACATGCATTTAAAAAGAAAAATTGAATGTGAAATAGCGACGGCAAAACACAATTCTGTACTTTTATGACTCCATAATGGTGTCAAGTACAATTAATGAATTATTTTAAGAAATATATCAAAGTACTTTATTAGTAATAATTTAAAAGTATTTTGATATATTTCTCATAATAAAGTAAAAATGAATTAACATAAAATAATTTAAAAAATAATAAACAATAGTTCAATAAAAGGGAATATATTTCAAATGGCATATCAATATGCCCAGTTTTGCTCACATATTATATTCTCTTCAATAGTCGTCGGTTGGTTATGTTAAGAGAGCGTATGTGTACAGATTCACCGCTGTTATAAAAGCGAAAAATGTTATTTGTTTCTCGTGCATCTGTGGTGAACTCCTTGATAAATTCCTACAAATTGTTCGCAGTCGAACCTGCACCTTCTCATTGTTTTAAGTTCTCTGGTTTAAGCATATTATTGTAAATCAGATCGTTTCTAACATTCGCTACGTGTGGACGCAGACAAGCCACACCAGCCACGTAACTTTCAACTCGTTAAATATATAACAGTAATTTTAATTTCTCGATTCATAGCTGCCAAAAAAGCTTGGTAGGTCAACATTTGGTGACCCCGACGTGATCGCTGTGTGTGCTTCTCGTGAAAAAAGCAAAAATTACATTAAATATCAGACTAATTAGTTCGTGTGCTGCAGTGTTAGTGGATATATTTTACATACAGTGAGTGGTCGATACATTAAAGCCGTGTTTGAAATTCAATGTGATTTGTTGCGAAAACGTGGTGTGATTTTCTTGAAAGCGCTACTATGGTAAATTTGAAAACTTAAGCCCCGTAAATCGGGCGCTTTGTAACGTATTCTTCTAAAAACAGTCATTGCGGTAAACTTAAATATTTAACCACCGTATATCGGGTGCCGATATTTTCTTCAACGGCTTAATACAGTTTTTAACTATACGTTACCGCGCTGATCGCGTTTTACAATTTAATTACTTAAACTATTCCCAGATGTCGTTAAATCATACCAGTGGTTCTCCAGCTGGAGAGATTCCAGTAAATGAGAGTCCCATAAGTCAGCATTCACCTATGGGCAGGGTGACCTTTTTGAAGTTGAAGACACAGGCTATGTATAAGTGCCTTGAATGCATAATGCAGATATGGGCTTGGAACGATCGCAAAGCATGCATGAATATGCTTTGGCGGCTTGATTCATTAAACGAGCAGAAATCGAATTTCTTGGCTGTACAAACTTGTTTGGAAGAGCATGATTTCGATTCTATTGGAAGTGATTACAATTTCTTATCCAATTCGATACAAATTTAGTTAATTTGAAAGCTACTTTACAACGCGAAATTGGAAAGCGTAGCGCTTCTCAACATTGCTCCACATTTAAGATCAACAACAACGAATCCCAGCCTATTATAGCAAATACTAATCGTTCACTTTTGCCACTATTAATGTTGCCTAAATTCAGCGGATCATATATAGAGTGGACAAATTTCTATTCGATGTTCACATCAGTTATCGATAAGGACAGCCGAGTGGACAAACTTCAGTATTTGCGTTCCTACTTAAGTGGCGCTGCCCTTGACACCATACGATCGTTGGAAATAAACGAGGCTAACTATAAAATTGCACTAGATATTTATTATTAAACGATTCGATAACAAACGGCTTATTTTTCAGGCATATATCAAGAAGATTTTCGGGATGGACAAAGCAGATCCTACCGGCCGCAAACTGCGAGCGTTGACGGACAAGATCACTTCGCATATACGTGCGTTGCAGTCACTTGATTCCAAAGAGCAAATAGCGGACTGTATAGTCGGGCAATTTTTAACTCAAAAATTGGACAAAGTAACTCAAAGAAAATGGGAAGAAAGTTGTTTAATAAACGAGTTACCATCGTGGGAATCATTAGCAGCATTTTTAGAACATCGATGTCGTACCCTCGAGAACGTGGAGCATGCAATGCAAACACAAGCCGATACATTTGGTGAAACTAGGAAAATCGTGAGTACATATCAAAGAAGATCCTTTATTGCTTCAAACAGCTTACTGGGTTCTTGTATATTTAGTGGAAGCGCTGAGCATTTGATTTATAAATCTTTCGCCAGAAAGAGGCTAAACAACTTTTACTTTGTCTAAACTGTTTAAAGAAAGGCCATCAGATGCGAGACTGTAAATCTAGTTCTTGTCGAAATTGTCATTCAAAGCATCACACGCTTTTACATTTTACTCGTTTTCCATCAGCGCTAGCTAATAGACCCGAGTTATCATTAATATCAATTTCTGTCCAAGCTAATGCCATGACTGCAACGCTACCAGCGCAGCCCGACATTTGTACTTTTAGCTACTGCAATCGTTTTAGTAAAGAATCGTGCCAGAACTTTCGTACCTTGCCGCACGCTATTGGATTCTGGCTTACAGATTCATTTCGTCACAAGTCGCTTCGCAAACCAACTTTAACTGCGTATAGCTAAAACATTCGTTTCGGTTTCAGGAATTGGAGATGCCAGTTTTCCAATGGATGGATACTCAGTTGATTTTGTAGTGAAGTCGCGGACTTCTGATTATTCAACAGATATTACTGTTCTCGTCGCTCAAACGATTACCGATTATCAACCTGGGACTTTAATCACCACTGATGATTGGAATGTTCCTTCGAATATCTAACTTGCTGTCCCTGCTTTCAACATACCACAACGCATCGATATGCTCATCGGAGCAGGACTTTTCTTTGATCTCATTTGTGTGGGGTAGATAAAGTTGGCACCTGGATTGCCCATTCTGCAAAAAACTCGATTGGGATGGGTGCTATCTGGTGGTTGGCAACAAAGCCCTCAACTATCAGCATTTATTGTAAGCCAAAGATCATCAAGTAGAATTGACCACGATATATAGTTAGACAAATTAGTACGTCAGTTTCGGGATATTGAACATGTTCATGAACCAACCACTAAATCCTTTGCGGCTAAAAGAAATAAATATGAAAACACCTTAATATTTAATGTAAATATAAAAAAGTAAAGCTACCATTTTTATTAGAATTCTTGTATGTATACTAGTATATTATTACATTTAATTCCGCTATATGTTATTAAAAATTTAAATTGAATATTTTTAAGTATCTTATTTTTCTCCTTATTTAAAATTTTTCAAAATATTTCTATTATTCTATGCATACATACTTGCAAAATACATACAAAAAATAGATAACAGAATTCAAAGTTCTGAACGAATGTAGGTAGAATGAGTAGCAGCGAGCTGTTACGAACAAGAACACAAAGCGTGCCACCCGAGCACGAGTGGCACGGACCCTTCGTCTTTCCTCGTTGCCCCCTCGCCCACAATAAACCGGTTTGGGTTCCAAAAGGGTCTTTGTATGAACAGGCTCAAGAAGCTTAGCGCATCGAGGGATGTGCCGCGCGTTAAGAGAGCGCAATTGGGGGAAAAAAAACCCAATATCTGCGGAATGGCATGAATGAACAAACGTTTCGTTGTAGATTATTGAGGCTAAAAACAAGTGGTTTTACATACTTTTTTTTTTTATTTATCGTGAAGAACGGATAAAAGTTTTCAATTGTTTAACAAGAATTTATGTAAAATATTATTATTCAATCAAATTGACCGTGAAATAAAAACAAGGGGTATGCACCCAATGAAGTGCTGATTTTTAAAATCGATGATTTAGCGAAGTTTTCAGAGTCCACAGAATGGGTTAAGGAATCCTTGGACCAATCAAGAAACTCACCACCCAATCAATGCGAGTTTCTAATATTTCAAAATTTTAGTGGAGTACTCGTATATACATATATATTTACACAACTATTATTTTCACAGACTTTTGTAAAAATTTAATTCGGATTAATTTTTGATATCATAAAGAAAGTCCTTAAAAATAATTTATATTTATATTTTATGTTAAATCAAATTACAATAAATTAAAAGATACAAGTACAGTAACACGATTTTAAGTAATTTAGGCCTATTCATAGATGAGTACATATGTTGGTATATATATTTGTTATAAAATGGTTAATCTTTTATGAAGATTAATATGCATATATGTATTCAATAATTAGTAGTTATATGGTCCGTATTGAGACCCGTGGTAATATGGCCCAGGATAAATTTGTGGTTGTGGGTAACTAGTATAGGGTGGATATGGCGGTTGCTTCTGTGAATACACTATATATTTTGAGAAAGAATTAGTACAATTAAAAATATAAGTAAAACATTCATAAGTCACCTGGCATTAAATATTGTAAGTTCAACTGTTCTTCTTTCTCACGTTCGTTCCGTAAGCAAATAGCAGCAGCTGACAGTAAGATCGCCGCAAGTAAACAGGCACCTATTCCAGCCCATGCAATAAGATATGACCAATCGTATGTTACTTTTGTGTTATCCCTGAGTACCTGAGTGAGTAAAAGGTTTTTATTTTTTCTTAACTTATTCACGCAATATGTTGCATATAAGTATGATTTTCATCTAACATTTGCAAGTAATTGTAATAAAGGTAAGGTCATGTTATGAAGAGTATTAGAAAAACGAGACAGAAATAGTTTGCTTACTAATACTCAAAGTTACCATATAGAGCTGGGGTAGCGTCATACATATGTATATTATGATATGTGCTTGATATATTTCCTAGATCATTTGAGCGACTGATAAAAACTACTTAAAGCGCCTAATCCGAGATGTAATGTTATAATGGTACTTTTAGAGTATAGTTTGAAAATGCGCCTCTCCTCAAGTCCGCAATTTGATATAATAAATGTATGCCTGTCTTATTTTGGATAACTTTATGACCATGACTTTTGGATAACTTATAACTCTATGATTTTGATGTTAAAATATCAGATACTACTTTATTATTGTGAAGCAAAATAAACGTGTTATCGTTAGGTAATCTGGCACCGAAAATTGTTGCAATCACCCCAAACCATTAACGATTACTGATTTCCGTTTTTACAATTTATATAATAAACTGATTCATATCTCGCAAAATATTTAACACGTTTTTAATTCTAAAAATTGAGTGATTTCAATCTTAGTTTTCTGTTGCTTGCTTTCATTTCAATTACCGTATTCCATTGTTGGTAATAGTCTTCTCCAACAACTTTCTCTTTTTCAAAAAATTCAACAGTGTGCCATAAACCCATAGCGCCAGCAGATAGTAAGCAACTTGCTAATAAAAGAATTGAAGTAGCTGTTATGGCACCGGATGATCGTTTCCAGCATCCAGACAGTCCTGTCCAAAAAGCGCAGAAAATTGTTACAAAACTAAATAAAATAAATAAATATATATATATAGATCATATTTAAAACAATCAAATAGTTATAATTTTACGTTACCCGATAACAAATAAGGCTATACATGAACGTGCTAAGTGTAGTCTGGAATTTGCATCGTCGTTCGAAGTCTTTTCATCATCGATTTGAGGAAAATAATCTAAGTTCGAGCAATGTGTTTCTATTGGTGATAAGTATGTGGGGACTGAAATGAAAGAAATGAAAGTTATTTAATAAATACTAAGCTTGTATACTTCCTTGATTACATTCGAGCAAAAATATCTTAAGCTGCTTCAAAAAATTAATACCTAAAATTATAATTTATTTACATTCCCAATAAGTCGTAAAAATACATTAGGTAATTAAGGCAGATAAAGTATTATTTGATAAAAGCGTCAACTAATTTGTGAGCGCGAATTAAGCTATACGCAAATGCAGATGCATGCAAAACAAAATTAGATAATACGTAATAGTCTAAGAGCTAGTGAACAGTAGGCCGTATGTTTAACAAAGGTGATATTTTGCTTAAAGATTCTTACACCTAATGGCAGATCATTTTGTTTGTTATTACCACGCGGCAGACGTTTTGAAAATTAAAAAATTAAAGTTCAAAAGTATTTTAAAAAATTGATAAAAAACAAACAGATAAACTATTTTAAATACTGTTATTAGCTTAATCTTAAAACAGCAGACGTTTTCTCTGGTTGCAACATTCTGGCAGACGGTAATATACTACTTACGGTGTGAGTATATGTAAGTACTGCAATTAATAGGTTTAATGTACATACGTCCAAAACCGCTTAAGCTAAATTAACTCACAACACATACATATGTTTAGCATAACCCCGCCCACTCACCATATAATGTTATGTTGAAAGCTATTAACTCAATGAATGAAAGCGTCAGACGTATCTGGATTCTTTCTGACATAACCGGAGTTAAGTCAGCGCTTCCGAAATTTCCAAAGCCTATTTGAAATTTAACATATTTCTTCAACACAGTAAAGGGTCTCTTTTTTCCTTTATTAAAAAAAGTAGTGTTGAAATTACATCCCGTAAAAGCATGAAAACCAATCAAGCTTTTTGTCAATGATTTACCGAGTTGCTCTTGAATTTTTGAGGCGTCAATAAATCTTTCATGGTTTCTGATCCCAGTAAACATGCAAATATGAGACGACCGCATTTTTAAGTGAATAATATTGCCAAGCTTTATTATTCCGATATGTGTTAGAAACAAGTAAGAAAGGGCCAATTTCGGGTGTAACTAAACATTTTACACTCTCTCAACTTGCAAAGATAAAAGCTGAGGAAATATCTTCTGGTGTTGGCAAAGCACTTATATATGTATGTATATAACTATATTTTACTTTCCGTCAGCGAAAATTATATCAAAATCCTCCGCAAACGTGATGTACATATGTGACATAAACTCAACCGAGGAGACTAAAATTAATATACTGAGTTACTATGGGAAACTCTAACCAAAGGATCGAAATTCTATATATTAAAGATATGAAGCTTAGACCAACATCTACACCATATCCTTACATATTCAGCACTAAAACACAAAATTTTTAAAAAACTGTTCCACTTAATTTTATTAAAATATCACACATTTTGACCAACCTTAACGAAAAGCGGAAATCATTATAAAAAGTATATTGGGGACAGAAAATGGTCTGGGCTGATTGCCATAACTTTTGACGTTGCTCAGGTATACTTGAGAACATATTATATAAATATATATACTAGCTGACCCGGCAAACGTTGTTTTGCCAATACTATAAGTGAGTGGGGATGTACATAATTATAATTGAAAGAGGAATGAAAATGAAATATATATTAAATTAAAATTAATAATAGCTACCTATACATCGAAAATAGTTCCTGTTTATACTCCTAATTATATAAATTAATAATAAACAAAGATTAATCTTTCAACGTAATGGAGTGTACAATATTTTTGGTCCGTATTCTTACGCGAATACAAACAAACTGGAAGTTTTGCTCCCGCGAGAACATGGTGTACCCAAATCTAAGGCACAAAGGGGCAATGTTGGACTTGGAGGGTTTAAATTATGAAGCAAAACTCAACCTTTAGTTGTAAATGCCCGACATATCCATCTAATTTAAAAACTCAATTGGATAATTCACAGCTTCGTTGGCATAACAAACAATATGATTGATTTATATGATACCAAGTCCCTTGGCAAGAACTGTGTAAGAGTGTTTGTGCAAAGGCACCGAAAATATCCGAACGAATACACAATTCAAAAAACTCGGTGAGCGTAGATGATATCTGAGTTTTATTTAAGGTACCTCACATACAGAATGTTAACGATTCATCATAAGTTCAATTAACTTGAGAGATTTATGCTATACAATTTGGCAGCACCATTCTCTAGGTACAATCTGGCATCATCATTATCAGCTGACGCATTTTAGGTTCGGCATTTCTACCGTTGTTTGGGTCAGACCATTGTGAAGCACACAATAACAACAGGAATCACCATTAGCAGGTGATGCGTTTAGCTTTGGCATATCATACCATTCTACTGTTGTTTTGTCAGTATATAAGCATAAGTTAAGCATAAGATTAAGTTCAGTTATTTGTCAAAGGAATTGATGGTTCTTGGAGCGTAACAAAGAAATAGTGAAAATAATAAAATAATAAGATCGTGGTTTTATTGTAGTGCAAATCCGCCATTAGAACATTGAGTGTTTAGTGCAATCCTAAACAGTCATCAATAATAATAATTATTTGAAAACCCTGATATTAGTTATATGGGGTCCAGGGCAAGTTTTCACATAATTTTATCTATTATATTCACAAAAGAAACACGCACTCTTTTAATTTCAGTCAGTCAGTCAGTAGTCCAATTTCGCCCATTTTCACACTGTAACATAGGAATGTCAGTATGATGTTATGTACCGTATTCGGTTGCAATTGGTATCAGTCAGTCAGTAGTCCAATTTCGCCCATTTTCACACTGTAACATAGGAATGTCAGTATGATGTTATGTACCGTATTCGGTTGCAATTGGTATCGCTTTTTTAATATGGGGAATGTGCGGGGTAATAATCCAATTTCAATCATTTTTACAATATCGAAGGGAATGTGTTCTGAGCAAGTTAGGTTGATTTAGCGTAAATGGTTTGGGACTTACGTCCAGTCCGTGGCATTCATTGTACTCTTTAATATGACCAAACGGCAGCTTTGTTAAAATACTTTGGAAACACTCATAATATTCGTACCTGTATTGTCTTAGTGACGTCATAGCTACCTTCGCTGGGCTTAGTGGCTCCCGAATTCAAGTAAAACAAGTAAAGGAGAACCTTTAAGCAAAACATCAACTTTGGTCAAATACGTACAGTCTGCCGTCCACTGGCTTTAAAACTATAAATATTAAAAAGTATTAAGCTTCAATGGATATAACCATTTTAAGATCGAATGACAAAACCACTACGAAACAGCATAGATTTCAGAGTTAGATACCTAATTTTTGATAACTCCATTGTGAATGGGTAGTTAAATTTCTGGAAATTATTTATGTGACATCCAAAAGAAAACAAAAAATCAACGCCGAAAATTATTAATTGTAAATGAATACTTTGTGTAACATACGCGGTGTGTTAAAATGGCAGTTTGGTTTAAAAAAAGAATTGTCTACATTAATGCTGTTTCCTTCAAAAAAGTTCCACAATCAACCAAATTCGGTATTATTTTTAAATCCCTATGTCGCAGTACAAAAATGGCCGAAATCGGTCCACAACCGCGGCTACTTCTCATACAATTATAAAACAATTTGAAATTCTATCTTATTCTTTCACTTTCCAGTATACAAATTAAGCACCAATGAATGTATCGTGATAAAACTTTGCACGAATAGTACCTTTGAAGTGTGTCAGCGTTTGGCCAAAATTATCCAAATTTTATCGGACTGAAAATTCAAGCCCCCAGGGACCGAATATATGGACCCCAGTTTCTATTGCGAATTTTGTATCGGAAATATCGGTCAACCTGGGAGATATGTTATAGAAACTCAAAACTTTAAACCTTATTTGATAATAATATGCTCGTGTGTAAAATATGGATAGAATCGGATCAATAATTCCCTTAGTCCCCATATATCTAATAGAAAAATTTTCGAACATCCGGCTGACTTTATACCACAAATATTATATATTAAATATTAGTCCATATGTGAATTATCTTGATGAATTTTCTAATACCAATGTACGAGTATATGTAATATACTTGTAATAGGATTATCAGGATTTTAAAACATCCGAATGGCAGGTGAGGTGATTAAACTCAGAGAGCATCTTCTTCTACCTAACACAAGATTTTCAAACTTCCGGTTACTGTATATATCTGTCAATATGTAAGATTTCTTAACAAATTTAACTGAACGTATAATATTGGACATACTATAGTTTAATGCCGACAATATGTGATATTGGACGCCACTTTACTGCCCAATATACCCTTTATAATTATTTCCGGCTTTCCAACTGTTTTTATACCGTTTAGGTTGATCAAAATGTGCGATATTTTAAAAAATTTTCACGTTTTCTTAAAACTTTATAAAAAATTATATTAATGGTTTGGCGCCCAAATAAATGAGATCGGTCTTGGTGCAAACCTCATATCCTTAATATAATCATTCCGATCCTCGGGTTGACGTTTTGCACATGAACTCAATATATAAAATTTAGCCTTTTCGGTGACGGGAACTAAAATATAGTCATAAAACTAATTAAATCTAAGACCAATAATACATATAAGTTAAAAAGATACAAATTGGATTGTAAACCATTCAGTTTCGTCGAACAATGAAGGTTGAATTCTTTTGCAACATGTTTTAACATAAGGTTTTACCAACACCTTATTTGTTTCTTGCAAGTTTCTTTCTGCAAAATAGTAGTTATAAAAAAAGTACGATACGATAACACGATATCGAAATAAACCTTAAACATTAATTGTGAGAAGTGTGAAGGAAAATATAGTAAGCATACAGTTTTAATATTTGCTATTAATCTTACTTATTGCAGTTTTTGGTAAAAAATAGAATCAACATAAAACTTACCCGCATTCAGAGGGGGTCTTTCCTTCGGGAAGCATACACGAAATAAACCTCTTGTTCGTGTGTAGTAAAAATATTTATTGGTCATGCTATTGAAAAGATCATCGGCATCAGTATGTTTTGCAGCAAACATCTAGATAATTTAAATGTAGGAAATTAATTTAATATATCATAATAATACCATACTATATTTTTTATACTTGTAATTGTTTTTTTTTTTTTTAGAGGAGGAGGAATAACTGTTGTTCAGTACGGTCAATAAACCGAGTTATGTTATACATAATTGAAATTAGGAGAAAACGTGTATGGTGTACATATTTTTAGTATTTTTGTTGGTAGGTGTAGTAACATTGATTAGTCTAAAAGTATTTTGGTGCCGCTAAAAGTAAAACTGATTTCAAGTAAATTTTGGTGCCCTGATAAAAACTCATCAAAAATATCAGTTTTTATTTTTCATTATTTAATTTATGAATATATGAAGCATGGAAATTTAGCGTACATGTGACCAAATGGAAAGTTGATACTGAAAGATTCTTGAGATGGTGTGTCATCTGAACACAGTCGAGGTCTTTTAATAAACGGTAAATAGCAATATGACATTTTTTTGGCTATAGCATTTGATTCTAAAACACACAAATAATAGTCATCAATGAGATTTTTGAGTTTTGTCGAATTATCGGCATACAATACTTTAAATTGTTACGTTTATCATTTCCCTGTCTTAAATGTTCACTACGTAACTTGCATTCCTTGCTCCGAACCCACGGTTTGTTCAAAGCCTTTATCTCTATACGTGTGAAGTTTGATCTCCATATATCAATTAGTGCGAGTTTGGCAGTAATTTGTTTACGAAGCGAAAAGCTTTTCTGCTATTCACCTCAGTTTATGACGATAACATCGATAAGGTTAAGCAAACAGACAGTGCTTAAAAATAATAGGTTTTAAATCACAGAGATAATAAAGGATCTCAACACCCTTATGGATTGACTTTTGGTAAATGTTTTGGGTATGGAGCGTCTTGCTAGACTCGTACCAAAAGGTCTGAATCTTTTGCAAAACCGACTTCGAGTAGAGGTCGCAAAAGGGATAATTGACAATGTAGGTTCTGACCTTACATTCATCAATGATGAGACGTGGGTTTAAGTATATGGCGTCGAAACTGTCCAACAATCAACAACAAACAAAAATGAGAAGAAACCGAAAAACCCAAAATTTGTTGAGGTCATCACAGCCGAGGCTAATAACACATGTATGAAAAAATGGATAAAGCATTGCCATGGTTATATTGGCTCAAAAGGGGCCTATTTTGAAATGATTATAAATGGCAACTACTCTGCTTTGACAATTTATCGTCGATTCGATTTTGT